GTCTTTTGATTGGTGCATTCAGATCATTTACATTTAGGGTGATTATCGATAGGTATGTACTTATTGCCATTGCAGGCTTTAGATCTGTGGTTACCAAAGGTTCAAGGGTCATTCCCTTACTATCTAACAGTCTAATGTAACTCACTTCATAGGATCATCATTGTTTTTGAGTGTTTCCTATTTTGTCATCAGTTTTATTTCTGAGCAGTATAATAGCTGCTATTTATTTAATCACGTGTGCTAGACAGTGTTCTAGGTACTTTACACATACTATTTCTAGACCTTAAAACAATCCTCCACTGTTTCAGTGAGGTACACTTTTTTTTAAAGGGTTAGAGCAAGGGAGTGTTTTTGATAATTTCCAAAAGGAATGCTTTTATTTGAAGGAAACTCCCACATGGTTTCTTTAACACACTGTTAGATTAAACTCAAGATTTTGATCTTGTTAAAAAAACTTTATTAAAACAGGGATTGATGAAAATATGAATATATGAAATCCAGTGGTATCAATACAGTCTTCACCTTAAAGTGATTTAACTTTTGGTAGTTTACATTAATCAATTTCATATAAGTAGAGGAGTTAAGCTTTACTACAAACAGCTCTTTCATCCATGATAACTGGAAATAGCCTTCCTGTAGTAGTAGACTAAGCAGTGTGGACAACTAAAGTAGCTGGATGAATATTTTCTCTTAAAATATACTTGATTCAATATGTACAAGAGCCAAAATATGAGATTGTTTCTCCAAGGAACTTTTTCCCTTTCTGCACCTAAAGATCTTCGTATAGGTGTGCCAGAAAAGAGAGAAAGAAAAGTCTGGAAAGACACACATGCAGACTCAGACAAAGGCAAAAGACAAGGCTATAATTTTTACTTTGTAGAGGTAGGAATAAAGTAATCTCACTTTCTTCTGAATCTCTTTTGTACTTGAGAAGACTATTTAATCAGTTATCGGAAATTGCTCTCCCCAAAAAGATGTAAACTCTTGATGCTTTTAAATACAAGGTATTGAAGATTGCTGAGCCAAGATCTGGGAGAAAACAAGACCCCAGAGAAGAAAGCCACTCAGAGCTGCCTTTTTTTCTGTAGAGCATTTTCCAATATTGGAAAAGTAGCTGTAAAATTGTCACTTTGGGGATGGAGTAAAGAGTATATAGAAAGCAAAGCTGTGTGCCTTCCAGGAGTTCCCACTTTGAGCTGGGAACCCAAAGGTCCATACCCACAGAGTGAGGATACAGTGGAAGTAAACCCCTTCTCAGGACTTGAGGCTAATTTCCCATTATTTGATGGTCCTGGGAAACTCAAGTCTTGACTTTGGATTAAAGTGTTCTAAACTTGTAATGTCCTTAAGCACATGGCAAAAGGCTTCTAAGAAAACCCTCTCTGGAGAATATGCCTTTCCTTAAACATCGAAATATTCTTATCAGTAACTTTTCAAACACAGCATTCAGTGCACAAAGACAGCCAGCTATACATGGAACCAAAACAGCATGAATGAGAATCAGCAGACATGTAGACAACAGAAACAAAAATCACAAAAACATGAGTTATGGAATTGGCAGATAAGACTGTGGATCAGATATATTTTCTATGACCTAAGAAGTGCAAGTTGAGGTGGAAAATTTTGGAAGGGAACTTGAAATTATAAAAAATGACAGCAGATTCGAGAAAAAAATAGAAATTTCAGAATTGAAAAATGTTAACCAAAAGAACTCTCTGAATGAGTTTAATAGATTAGAAATGGCTGAAGAAAGAATTGGTGAGTTATACATAAGTCAGGAGAAACTGTCCAGAAATAGTATAATAAGATGAGAAGATAGAAAGTACATGAAAGACTTTGAAGATACAATGAGAAGGTCCAACATGTATTTAGTTGGAGTCCTTGAAGGGAAGGAGGGAGAGAATAAGTCAGAAGAGATAATGGCTGGGAAGTTTTCAGAATTGTTGGAAGACACGGATCCACAGAGTCAGGAGGCCTAATAAATCCAAGCAGGATTGTATAATCTATCTATTGCTGTAAAACGTCACCCCAAAATTTAGTGGCTTAACACAGCAATATACATCTCACAGTTCCTGTGAGTCAGGAATTAGGGAGTAGCTTTAGCTAGATGGTGCTGGCTTGGACTCTCTGTCATGAGGTTTCAGTCAGGATATTGACTAGAGTTGGATTTATTTAAAGGCTTTACTCTCGGGCCAGAGAATCTGCTTCCAAAATGTCCCACTCAAATGGTTGATAATTCAGTACTGGCTTTGGCAGGAGACCTCACATCTTAAATGGACAATATTGGGACTATATTGGGACTATGGTACAAGGGTTTGAATACCAGGCAATGAGAATAAGTTAATATAATCCTCACATCCAGACATAAAAAGAAACTGCAGAAACCAAAGACAAAGGGAAAATCTCATAAGTAGTCAAAGGGAAAAGTGGAATAGTGTTTCTGCTTCTATAGTGTTTCCACTTAACAGTGCCAAAAGACATTGGAATAGTGTTTTCAGTGAACTAACAAATAACTTTCAACCTCCAAGAGTAAAGGTTTATTAAAAAATTAAGCCATTTTTTGTGACAAAATCTGAATGACTTTAAACAAATGAAATAAGTGAAGTAAAGGCAGATCTTAGGCAAAAGGAAAAATAGTTTCAGATGGGAAGTTAGACGCAGGAAAAAAGGAAGAACAATGAGAAACGTGGGTGAATCTGAATGAACACTGTATAAAACAATAACAATGAGGATTTTTAAAATAGAGAATTAAAACACCTTGTAATATAGGATATAACTTGGAAGGACTAGTAACAGGTGAGTTAAGATCTAAGATCCCTGCATTCTGTGAAAGAAAGTTAAAGACACTGATTAACATTAGACTTTGGTAAGTTAAGAATATATGTTGTAATTTCAAGGGTAACCTTAACAGGTTATATAAATGCTTATAAAACAAACAGGTGAAAAAAACAATCAACCAGAAAAAGTAAAGAAGGGAAGAAAAACAGAAAAGGTGGGACAAATCACAGAACAAATAGTTTTATACCCAAAAATATCAATTATTACATTAAATGTTAATGATCTAAAGGATCAATTTCAAAGGCAAAATTCTAGATATATGATGTTTACAAGGGACACGTTTAAAACATAAGAATACAGGAAAGTTTGAACAAATGAAAGAAGATACAAATACTAAAAACAACCCCCAAAGCTATTGTAGCTAAAGGTAAAATCAGACAAAATATATTTTAAGGTAAAAAGCCTTAAAAGCCTAGAGATAAGGAAGGTCTCTTTATCATAATGAGGTTAAATTCACCAGAAAGATATAACAGTTCCAAATTCATATGTACCTAATAACCTGACCTCAAAATGTGTTAGAAACCAATAGGATAACAAGAAAAAATAGACAAATCCACAGTCAGTAAAAATACAGGTTTAAACAACTTTCTTAACAACCTTGCCTACTGAATAATAGGACACTGTTCCCAATAACTGCAAAATACACTATTTTCTTAAGCAAACATGGAATATTTATTAAAATTGACCATATACTGGGCCATAACAAATCTCAAGAAACTTCAAGGATTTCAAATAGCAGGAGTCCTCATAAGACTGGACTGTGTTTGGATCATCCATTTGAGATTTGTAATCAAGAACTTAAAGTGAGTCCCCAAGGTTCTTCTCTCCCGCAAGTGATTTGGGTGTAAGGATAAAAGAAAGTGATTATTTGACCCTAACCAGAGATGAAATTTTCCAAGAGACCAATCAGGGATGTTAGAGGTAAGGGAGTTGAGGTTGTTTATAATGGCAGTTAATATTGAATCATGGAATCTAAGCTGAGCAAAAGGAATAGTGAGGATATGATGAGGATGATGGATAATCGGAGAAGTGGTAAGATTAATGGATGGGAGGTATTAATAAGATAAGAGAATTGCTGGAATACATGAGTTAGAAGGATAGAAGGTGGTGGTCAAGTGCTGGGATCCTTAAAGTCAAGATTTTGGAGGTGATGCAGTCACTGGGGCTGATGATCAAGGATCTGACTCTGGAATGGGAAGTTGGAATGGTGGTGAAGAGGTCAAAGACCTGAAAAGTCTTATTGACATCATCAACAGCAGTTAAGAAGTAGAATGGAAGATAGAAAGTTCTGAAGACTATTGCTGAAAAGTAAGAGAGTTGAGGGTCCATAAATGACATAAACAAGGTAGCATAGTAAATGAAATTTGATAGCAAGAAATTAAAATGTATTCAGGTTTTTGAAGGAAGAGAAAGGTTTAGAAGAAGTTAAGAGGAAAAGTCCCCATCTACAGGAAATGCGGAAGAGAAGCAGCAATCTCCAAATGCAAGGGCTTCCAGGGACAGCCAGGTTTCAGTTAGGGCACAGAAGGGGCACCTTTCAGGGAAAAGGTTGAAGAGTTGAAGAATTTCCACTCAGTAAAAATTAGCCATTATCATTGTAATATCCTCATAATTAATATTAGGTTTTGTGGTTAGGTTGTATAATTGTAATATTCATACTTTGGGACACTTCTGTAAACATTGTATTGATGTATTATTTATTATTGATTTTATCTTATTTTTTGTAAAAGTTTGGATATCAGATATAAAGAATTTCAAAATATTTATTATCTTATACATATTGGAAAAGTATGTTTAACTTTATTTGTGGAATAACTGCCATATGCCAGGTGCTTATCTGTTGCTGGACATAGAAAGACCTCAAAGAATAATGAGTAGTCAGCCTACCAGAATATAATTTGTGTGCGCGTGTGTCCTCCCTTAATGCAGACACCCTCAGACTATTAGCAGTGATCACCTCTAAGACAGTGAAGGAAATGCAAGAGGCAAGATACTAAGGGGAGCTTTCTATTTTTAGCCTATGTTCTTTGAATCGTTTATTAACTGCATTTTATAGTTCATTAATAAAAAATGTTAAGAAGGAATTTCTGGAAGTTACAGTTTTCTTTGTAATAGCTAAAAGGAGAAATTGTGTTTTTTAAGCCTTTGTGTGTTTCTTCTAGGCAGGGATACCAATGGGACCACTGCCTGCAGCGGGAATGCCATACCTGGGACAGGCACCATTCCTAGGAATGCGTCCTCCAGGCCCACAATACACTCCAGACATGCAGAAGCAGTTTGCTGAAGAGCAACAGTAAGAGACCTCAGGATTCAAGGATAAATATATGAAAGCAGTTATTTTAAAAATTGCCAAATGTTCTCTAGTGCAAATTTGAGGCCAAAGCAGTCGCTTTGCCTTTAAAATTCTTTAAAATACTTTTATTATAAATTTAAAGCCAAAAGGGACTTCAGAGATCTTCTAATTTAACCTTCTAATTTTATATCTAAGGGAAGTGAAGTCCAGAGAAATGAAGTGACTTGTCAGTCCAGGTTACAGTTACTAGCAAAGCCTGGGCCCAGGTACAGGCCTCCTGATTCCCAGAGCACTGCTCTTACTCCCTATGACACTGCCTTCCCAAGTGGAAGTTTCTTTTCCATATGCAGAGCAAACAGTGGTTTTGTCCACTGCTTTGTCTGCTTTGTGTGATGACTTTTGAATGCAAAAGGTTGTCTCCTCACTTTGCAAACTAGATGGGAAATACATTTACATCTATAATATAAGTAACTCACATTTTAGACTCATATATTTTGAAATTAATATAGTGGGGAAATAGGGTTGTCATAAGAAAATTAGATATAATTATCAGTGAGGTTTTTAGTTACAGGAATGTAAGATGGTATTATTGAAACTGTCAGAAATATGACTGTAACAAAGTTGATAATCCCTTAAGCTGGTTCTTTACTAGATTGTTTTTCTCCAGAAAGCGATTTGAACAGCAACAAAAGCTCTTAGAAGAAGAAAGAAAAAGACGCCAGTTTGAAGAGCAGAAGCAAAAGCTCAGACTTCTGAGTAGTGTGAAGCCCAAGGTAATATATTCCACCACCATCCACCACCACCTACACACACCCTGCAGGTGCCTCTTCTCGCTCATTCAGTGGATTCTACCACTTAGGCACCAGCCCAAGCTGAGGCTGTGGTTGATTGCTTTTGGTTTATCTAAGTCCAAAATGGAAGGATATGTTTTCCCTTTCTGTAAAAACACTCTGTGGTTGAGGAGAACAGGATATCAGCCATTATCTTCTTCTCAATTCTTTTTTACTACCATTGGAATATTTGTGATCTTGTCTAGAGAAGCAATTAATTAATACAGGATATTTGATATCTAATGAGCTGATCCTAAAGTATTTATAAATTTGCCTTTTAATATTTTGTGTTCTATGGAGTGTCACTTTATGCCTTTGTTTTATACACTTATCAGTGTTTTTCTGACTTGGAGAATTCAGTATCAGAAGTATGTGGTTAAACTATTGGAAATAAACTAATATCTGTGCTTTTGTTTTAATTTGGGAGGATTTAGGATGAAGTAAGAAATAAGTGAAGAAATACACACACATTTATTGTCTCTTAGACAGGAGAGAAGAGCAGAGATGATGCTCTGGAGGCCATAAAAGGAAATTTAGATGGATTTTCCAGAGATGCTAAGATGCACCCTGCTCCAGCATCACACCCTAAGAAACCAGGTAGTTTTAATTTTGGAATTTTATTTCGTTGGAAGGTGATTTACAGTCCCTGTGTGCTTAATTGACCATTGTGTGTGTGAAGAGTCAGTGTTGACCTCTTCCTTCAAGCTGAGTACAGATTTGGATGTTTTATAATTTACAGTAGGTTAAGAGCTCTGGTCTTGGGAGGAAAAATCCTCTTTGTCTTTTAGGAAATGTCAGTGTGACAAGTTCACTTATAAATCTATGTAAATGAGTAAGTTAATGTGAGTAAAGTCTATTCACTCCAAGCATATGTAATAAAAGAGTTTACCATTTCCCATTGTTTTAAAATAATTTGACTTTATGAACTAGTTCAGATGTTAGTCAATGAAATTAAACTTAAAAATTTTTTAGTGTCTCCTATTAAACTTATGAGTTATTTTGTTCCTCATGAAATTTTAGTTTCTTTAATAGATTTCTTTGTAGTTCTGTTATCACTTATTATTGATACATTTTTAAAAGTGCCTATTTAGAACAAGATAGATGGATTTTTTTTGCATGTGTTTTGAACATTTTGTAGTTGAAAATGTCTTTACCTAGCTGTTACCACATCCTTTTTTTTAATTTGTTATTTTTATTCTGTTAATTTCAAGAAATACCATAATGAAACAATGTTTATAAATCATTCTGCCAACCAAGCACTGTTTTCTGCTGGCATGCATTCCACTGATAAATTTTATTGTAAACCCTTATTGTACTGTTCATGAGTGCTATCAGGAGGGAATAATCTAATATTGGCATAGTAACCAGTTCTTGACTTCCTGGGACAGCTCTGACTCTGTCCTGATAATTTCACTTGTTAGATTATAAACTGAAATTCTCATTCCAAAAGTGTGCCCCTAAGTAAAATATACACCAAGATTGAAAAGGGAATGGGTATTAGCAATCAGATTGAGTTTAGAAAGGAAAACATACCTAAAAATGAAAATAATAAGCTGGAAAAGTAGTCAAGTAATTTATGAATAGACATTGGAATCCTAAAACTAGATGCAGCATGAAACTTAAAGAAGGAAGAAGAAGACAGAGGAATTGTCATTATTAGGTGAAACACTGTTCTATCCATATTGAATGCTTGTTTTGGATAACTTGGTGTAGTTTAGTAACTTTATTGTTAAATAATAAATTGGTGTTTTGATGTGCAAATAATCTCATGAGTTCAGTCAGCATGCATGCAGTTAATTGTTTCTTGTTAACTGCTTCATGCTTAGCCAGGAGTTTCTATAGCCCAAGGAGTTTCTATAGCTTCTCCAGTTAAGGTCTTAAATCTAGGACTAATGTACATAAAAAGAGTTTCCAGCTTTTTAACCACCAAAGGCATCTTTTAATTCCCCCCACCAAAAGAGTATCTTAAAATATTGATATACAAACTTTATCATATAACTTTTTTACTACTTACTAATCATAAATATAGGTGTGAGAGTTTTTAAGCCAAAATATATACCACATAGAATTGAAATAATTCCAGTGAAATGCAGAGAAACATTGGTTTAACTTTGCAGTCTTATTGCTAGCAAACAGTCTGGGTCCATTTAAAAAATATTCATTGTAGCTCTCTATTTTCCATTACTACTGTTTCTATGAGCACTGGTCTGAGAACCCAAATTGAGAACTTAAATCCCATTCTCAGTAACCATTATTGGGAGGATTGGAATTTATTATGGCATGGTTTTTTCTTTTTTCACAGAATGAGTTTGGAAGTATTCCCTCCTCTTCTATTTTTAGGAAAACTTTAAGGAGAATGGGTATTATGTCTTCTGTAAATGTCTGATAAAATTGAGCAGGTGAATCCATCTGGCCCAGGAGTTTTGCTCTTGGGTAGTTTTTTGATTACCGATTCAATTTCTTTGCTGGCAGTTGGTCTGTTTAGATTTTCTTTTTCTTCCTTGGTCAGTCTTGGAAGGTTGTATTTTTCTAGGAAGTTGTCCGTTTCTTCTAGGTTTTCCAGCTTGTTAGCATATAGATTTTCATAGTATTCTCTAATAATTTTTTGTATTTCTGTGGGGTCTGTCGTGATTTTTCCTTTCTCATTTCTGATTCTGTTGATGTGTGTAGATTCTCTTTTTCTCTTAATAAGTCTGGCTAGGGGCTTATCTATTTTGTTTATTTTCTCAAGGAACCAGTGCTTAGTTTCATTGATTTTCTCTATTGTTTTATTCTCAATTTTATTTATTTCTTCTCTGATCTTTATTATGTCCCTCCTTCTGATGACTTTGGGCCTCATTTGTTCCCAGTTTCAATAATTGTGACTTTAGACTATTCATTTGGGATTATTCTTCCTTCTTTAAATAGGCCTGGATTGCTATATACTTTCCTCTTAGAACTGCCTTCGCTGTGTCCCACAGAAGTTGGGGCTTTGTGCTGTTGTCGTCATTTATCTCCATATATTGCTTTATCTCTGTTTTAATTTGGTCATTGATCCATTGATTATTTAGGAGCATGTTGTTAAACCTCCATGTGTTTGTGAGCCTTTTTTGTTTTCTTTGTACAATTTATTTCTAGTTTTATGCCTTTGTGGTCTGAGAAGTTGGTAGGTAGAATTTCAATCTTTCTGAATTTACTGAGGCTCTTTTTGTGGCCTAGTATGTGGTCTATTCTGGAAAATGTTCCATGTGCACTTGAGAAGAATGTGTATCCTACTGCTTTTGGGTGTAGAGTTCTATAGATCCATCTGCTTTTGGGTGTAGAGTTCTGTAGGTCCATCTGTTCTAGTGTGTTGTTCAGTGCCTCGGTGTCCTTACTTATTTTCTGTCTGGTGGATCTGTCCTTTGGAGTGAGTGGTGTGTTGAAGTCTCCTAGAACGAATGCATTGCATTCTATTTCCTCCTTTAATTCTGTTAGTATTTGTTTCACATATGCTGGTGCTCCTGTAATGGTTATATCCTCTTGTTGGA